TTAAAAAGGTAGGTTATGTGATGACAACAAATTTTGCATATCGAGTTTTCGGTGGGAATGCACTTCTTCATAGTAGGGAAGTGTAAGTAAACTATTTTTAGCAACCTGTCGGTTTTCCACAAGGGAAGAATTCAGGCAACATACAGCAACTGGACATTTACTACAGGCCAAATATACATTTTTGAGTACATAAAGAGATTAAAATATAAAAGCAATTAAAATATAAATTTTTGGGAAAGATCGGGGCTCGAGAACTGATTTGCGGGCCGATTTTACATTTTTCACCATATCCACAGAACAAATTGATGGAATTTCTTGAAATTTGATATTTGAATTCTGGTTGTTACCGAAACTAACTGGCGAGCATTTCAGGGAATTCGGGTAGCACAAAGCGAAATTCTACTAAGAACCAAACTTACATTTTTCTAGGTATGCTAACTATAAGCTTACTAATGTCCTACAAATTTGAAAGAAAGAATCACATTTTCATAATATTCTGTAACATTTTCACTTATCTAGAGAATACACATTGCGGTCGGTTATGTGCTGATCACATCAGATTTTTTTAAGGTTATGCGATACACTGCAAGAACAAAAAATTTACACAATGAAGTAATAAGTTGATTTTTGAGAATTTTTTCAAATTTGAGAAAATGTACATTTGATATTAACAAGTTTACTAATTATGTATAATATGTCTCCCACAATGCATACTTCTTATATATTAATTAAACCAATATGCTTCATAATTCATAAAAATTATTGAATATATTTATAACGTGTATTCTTTTTTTATTAAAAGTTCATATACTAATTCTTTTTAGGTATGTGTATGATTTTAGTTATATTAGGAAATATTTTCACATTGTTAGTAAGGCAAATTCATTGATTTATCTAATCTACCGCATCAGAAACTTTAAAATTTATACAAGTTTCTTTATATTTTTTATATAGGGAACAACTTGAAGCAACGTATTTTTTATAATAATTGTAAAATTATAATAGCACTACTATAGTTATAAAACTTGAAATCAAATTATTACAAACTTAGATTCTAAATTAAAATGTAATAAAATTTTTATTAATTTTATTTTAAGTTATATTAAAAAATATAGCACCCAATTTTTTTTATGCACTGATTATAATTTTTTACTCTCAATTCTCTGAGATATGTTGCATAAATATGGTACATAAAAATGCGCAAAAAACTCGAAAATATATTTAAACAAAATTATAGTTACAATTTTGAGATGAAATTTTAATTTTTGATATATTGCTAAGAAAACTCCAAATTTAATTTTAGTATAAAATTTTTTAAAAATTAAAAAATTTTATACTAAAATTAAATTTTCATATAGAAAACTCGAAATGAAAATAGGCAAAAATTATCATTTTTCCAAAAAAAAAAAAAACCAAATGATTTGGCGAGATGACGTGTCTTCAGACATGTCATCTCGCCAAAAATACATATGAAATTTTAATAAATACATTCATAAAAAAAGCAAGGTTCAGGCATTGATTTTTTGTAATGTCAGATAGATACCGATAGAAATACTAAACTGAAACATTTTTTGGCTAGATGTCGATACGTACACCTAAATTAATACTTTTAAAAACTGAAAAAGGGAACCTTTACTTTTGAGAGCAAAATTAACATAAAAGCAATAAAAACGACTAATTAAAAAGAAAAGAAGTTTCACACAAAAATTTACCATTTCTGATGTCAAAAACAATGATATATAATATTTTACTTTTAAAGATACAAATGATTAACCCTGAGTAATTTCCTTTGCTAAGTTTTTTTTAAAAAGATAAAAAGATTGTATAAGTTAGAAAATAGGTAGGCCATTTTATTAAAAAAAAAAAATTAATGCTGTCTCAGTACATGTATTTTTTGAGGTGTTTACGATTTATAATAAATTTCAATTAATTTAAAACAAAAAGCAAACAACATGGTTAAATAAAAACAAATGGCTTATGCACTTCAAAGAAAAGATAAAACACCCATAAATTTACGTTGTTGAAATATGGTGTGCAATGGTTTTCAACTTGCTGAAATTAATCCATATTTTAAATTTTTCAATATTTGATTAGGACTTTTTTAAGAACGTATAAATTCTGCGCGAGAAGTTTTTGAGAAATCTTTTACATTCTCCAAAGTGTCCTATGGTGTGACGAATCCAAATTCAATATTAAACTGTCTATTGTTGTTTAACTCAACATGTTTATTTGTAAAATTTAAACGGCGTTTAAAATTATTTGCAGTGATACAAAATTTTTTTGATAATACGTCCAAAGAACTAAGCCCCGTTTGAATGTGAATGCAACTCTTATTAAGAAACCAATTTTTTGTCTTATATGAACTCGAGAACTTACTCTTAAGAGAAGGATTTAAATAGTTAATTCTTGTATTAAAGACAATCAATTTAATTTATGTTGTAAACAAACTAATAAACTTGTAGATCAACAGCAATGTCATATTATGTATCAGTAATTTTTACAAAATATACATAGTACCTAAATATACCTAATAAGTACCTAATAAGTAACTAGTAAAAATTTAGAAAAGCGTGCTATTATTTTTTCCTAGCTGTATTTTTTTAATGTAGGTACATTCCTACATACATTTTGATCACTCTCCAGCAGGTTATGCATCTAATAGGTTGTTTAAATTGTTTCTTAACTAATTCATGTATTTCCTAATTTTCCGAAAATTTCGAAGAAAAAAACAGAAAAGTATTTACGACGAAAGAAATTTAAAACAAATACATAATTAAACTTTAAGCAAATTTTGTAGATACGTACAAAATTAGTATACTTATAAAAGTAGTAGTGCGTACTTATAAAAGTAGGTAGTGTATGCTCCCATTTTTAGAAAAAAAAAACTGCAAAATAAAAGTGAACCCCAATTTATCAGAAATTGTGGCCTACTAGGTATAAAATTTATTAAACTATATGCTATTTACATTGTAAATTGTCCCTCTAATTATAATTGTCCATAAATGTTTAATAAATAAATTATGATTGCATGCATTTCAATAGACATATATGAGTATGTATATATATATATATATAAGAAAGAAACACCCATTTAATTTTAGGGATGCTATTTTGATCAATTTCCAGCAAAAAATTGTATGGGTTTTCGGGCTACAGCCTGTTGAAAAAAAGATACCAGATTTTCCTGCAGGCAAATAAATGCTTACAACTTCGGAATCATGAAACATAGAGTGATCATTGGAAACTTTTTTTACAGGTGATCGATTGTTTTTTATTTTTGGTTATACAATCAATTTGATCTGAACCATAGTTTTCGAGATACAGCTCGTCAAAATCAGAATTTTTGTGTCTTTTTTGAATTTTTTTTTTTTAAACTACAAATTTCTCGAAAATTTTCGTTATTATTTTTTCTTTTTTTTTGATGGGCTACGATGAAATATAAAAGTTACCTACATACATATATAACATTTGACTCCATCTCTCAGTAAAACGTGTTAAATGTTTAAATACATGCGAAAAATGTGAAGTATTTCATACATTTTATACAAATTCCAAATTATACATATGTACATACTAAAATAAAAAAATATTTATGTTTATTGTTTGTATGAAAAATGTATAAAAATTGCATTTTTCGCAAGTTTTTTGAACATATTTAACATATTTTATCTGGCAAAACTATGAGAGATAGAGGAAAATGTTATATGGGTTAACTTCTAAATCTTATCGTAGCTCATCGAAAAAAAAAACAAAGAAAAACAGAAAAATAATAGCAAAACTTTTCGAGAAATTTCGAGATTTTAAAAATTATAAAAATTAAAAAAAAAAAAAAAGAAACCGCTTTGACGAGCTGTATCTCGAAAACTATGGCTCGAATCAAAATTTGTAAGCACAAAAATAAAGAACAATCAATCGCCTGAAAAACAAGCACTAATGATAATTTCATGTTATATTATTCTGAAGTTATGACCATTTATTTATATGCAGGAAAATTCCGGTACCTTTTTCTTAAAAAGGCTGTAGCTCGAAAACGACCTTATCTCTATTTTGCAAAGAATCTGCAATGTATCTTCAAAAAATAAGATTTTTTGTGTTTCTCAATCAAAAGAGTACTAAAAAATATCAATATTTATGTATTAATTTGAGGTATCTATTATGTAGGTACGAATGCATACATATTTAAATATGCCTGAGAGTAAATATAGACATACATACACATTATGCATAAAAATGATGCAACATTTAATAATTATACAGAAAATGTTGTTTTTAGTTGAGCATTACAAAATAATTAACCAAAAGATTTTGGATTTCAGGGATTTAGTGCTCTTTTGATTGAAGTGATTTAAAACATTTCAGGGATTTAGTGCAAAAAATTGTAAGGTAGAGGTGGAGGGTTTAAAACTGATTTAAGCTATATTATCGGCAAAACTATGAGATAGACGATAAATTATGTATGTTAATTTTTGTTCTCATTGTAGCGCATCGAAAAAAAGGAAAAACGCAGATTTTTAAACATTTTAAGTTTTTAAAAAAAAAAATTCTGATTTTGAAGAACTTCATCTTGATAACTAATCTCAAATCTACTTGATTGTGAAACCCAAAATAAAGAACAATGAATCACCTGTAAAACTAGCATCCACTGGTTACTCTGTGTCGCATGGTTCCGAATTTATAATCATTTATTTATATATAGAGGATCTGGAGTTTTTTTTTCAACAGGCTGTATCTAAAAAATTAGTATATCTGAATACCCAATCATCTTTAAAATTATTTGCCACCTTACGCCAAACAGCCTGTGTCCAATATCAATGCAAAAGTATACAACAATATAAACAACATTATATGTACGTGAATATGGGATCAGGCAATTCAACATTTCAAGCACATATGTAGTTGTTTGTTTTAATATTTATGTCCACACATTATTACATGAGTCATAACACAAGAATATCTAGAAATCGTAATTATGTTGCTAAGAAAAATTTTTCATATCTTACCGGAATTTAAGATGACAACTTATTAACTATAGCTCAATTGTGTAATAGATAACTTTACTATATTTAATGATATGACTGGTATACAATTTATCCACTTGCATTATTGATACGTGTGATAGTCAAATAGAGATACCAAAATCTATTGTTAAGGAACACCTACATATTTCTAATATGTAAACTTAAAAACCGGCAAACACTGACATTAAACTACACCAGCCAAACTGCGACCACTTTGACTCTGCAATTTAGTTTAAAATATGTAATTACTTTTGCAAGTTTAACATATACAAAAATTTATTCAACTGAGCTTGCTTTTCATTTCGATGCCTTCGGATTTTACACTTCTATATGTTGTATGTATGTAAGTTTTAGGAATTTGCATTTCCTAACGTTGTTGTTTAATCATAGGGCAGAATAGTTTGTCTATTATGTACCCGAAAGTACAAAATGTTATTATCTTACATTTTTGATTTCATTATCAATGATTTGATATAATTTTTAATGAAATTTTTACTTTTATTCTCATTGTGCACACTTATCTCACAACTATAATTTATTTTAAAAATTTCAATAAACTCCGATTATAATATAAAAATATATAAAAAAATTCAAAAACTTTTCGTTTCCAATCAAATTTCTATAGGTAGTGATAATAATTTATAGATGATTATACACATGTACGATGTGCAAATCAATAATTCATGCTCATCGATTTTGTTGATACCCGTCATACATGTTGATACATTGTTGTCGCAATAAATGCTTATAAAGCTTATGATTGAGATTCGATTACCAATAATTAGAATTAAAATCGATCATTGAAAAATCGGAATTTTGACATCCCTATTTTCTCAAAACAATGTTGCATCAGGATATCAACAGGGAATTTATATTTATTGTTTTATAAGTTCAATCTGTACGTTCATTTGATAATATAACAACAAATAATTTTTAAGTCAAGTAATTTAATTGAAATAATAGGTCTGTCTGGTATAAAACTTGAAAAAGCTTTAAAAAGAGAAAAATGTAACGGAAAGAAAAAAATTCTCATTTAAAAAAGAAAACAACAAAGCAAACGGAAAAGTTCAAAAAGCTTTATAAATTTGGTTATACGTCAAATGTCAAAATATTGGTCACACATAAAACTCTAGTTTTAGTAACAAAAAAACGAACATTTTCATTTATTATTTTGAGTGTGAAATTTAGAAGCAAACAAGCATTCTGTTTATTTGGTTTTATTTTAATTTGAAAAGTTTTGGAAAAGTTATATGTTATAAGAAAAATGTTTTGGAAAAATAAAATTTTCTGATGCTTTGCATACCAAAACTTAATACAGTTTTTTCAAGTTTCATAAAGTTTTGAAAAACTTCCTTATACCAGAAATCCTTATATTGTTACACTTTCATTATAAATACTTAGCTCCACAATATAAGTACTTCGATAACTATGTATATAGAAAATGTATAAATTTTTTTCATATAAAGTACGTATTATGTACTTATTCATTCATGTTTAATTTTTCCCCTTCGGCAGAATACCCCATTCGAATAGTTTCATTTCGTATGATTATGATTGAATCGAAAGCTATTAACAACTGATTTTATGACATAGACTTGAATAAATGCGAAATGTAAGTGTACCCCTATTTGCGTTTAAAAATTCTTTACCAAAAATACTTTATCTATTTTTTTTTTTTCAGTCTAAGAATTAAATATTTCCGTCCTACTTTTTCTTCACATCAACCTACTGAAAAAATTACTAACTTGTAAAACATATAAATTTTATAAAATAAATTGAAATAATACTTATAAATAAGAGTATTATTTTAAATTTGATTTTTTTCTCACTGCTTAATTTATTTTTTTCAAAATTGAAACAAGTTTTTGATATCTTAGATTGAATATGTCAAAAACAAAAATTTCACGTTCTGTGTTTACACGACGTCTCGCTACAACGGATAGAAATTGTAATAATGTATTTCAGTCTTGACATTACAAAAAAACAAGGCATGGACCACAGTAATCTTAATAAATAATACTTCGCAATACACAATTTACTAATGTTTACATACGGTGTATTGAAAATTCATTACTTAAGTGCAGTACTTAAGTGAAGAAATATATTCTTACATTAGGTATTTTCGAATAAATTAGAAATGTTCATGGTGATTTGGGATGTTTCAAAAACAGAAATGATTAAATACAAAATATACACAGAATTTATTTTATTTCATTTAATTAAATAATAACAAAATTAAATTTCGTGCTCTTACAAATTAGAACATGAATTACAGGAAACAAAACATTTTTTAGACAAAACAAAAATAGTTAATATCATAAAACAATTGTTTTTAAAAAAAAAATCGTTTTTTATTACCTACACAGCATATTTACATAAAATAGAATTTTTAAATAACAATAATAATATATTTTACATTTTTCTTAAAACCAGTAATATTTGATGAGAGAACCTATAAATTTTATCTATATTTAAATATATCTATGCGTTCACCTAAATTACACAAAATTATTTAATTTTCTTTTATTAGAGATTAAATTACTTTCTTATTTAAAGTGTTAAAATCTTAACATTAGTAAGTAATTGATTAAATTATATTTGCCACAGGCAACAGAATTACAAGCTCTTACAAACGAAAAATACTTCGTTGGTGTCGAATCCCTTTTTCTTAATGCTTGTATTCATTAATCCCTGATGACCTCGTTCTTTGGCAAAGCAAATGTAGGAATAGCTTTTACGTTCACCTTTTCTCTTAAACTATTGCTTTTGCATACTCCCACCCAACACTATCAGGGCATTTCTGTTTATATAAGGGAAATTAAATAAACTATTATATTTTATTTAAATATGACTACAATAAAAACTTTAAAAAGTACACCAATTCTTACTAAATTACTAAGTAATTTTTTCTTTTTAAATAAATTTTAGTGTTTTTTTTTGCAAAATCCACCTTTGTTTCATACCAAATATTACGAACAAAAGAAAAAATTTATTTATATACATAAATTGTAAATTTTCATTTTATTTAGTTATCCAAAAAATTAATATAATTATTCACTAAATTTAAATCAAAAATTTTAATTTAGTAAATAAATTTTTAAATTAAAATTTTAAACAGCACATAAATTATTGTGCAGTGATACAACTTTTCCGTACAAAATTTATATATGGACTATGAAAGAAATGCTATAATCTAATTTTTTGTACAACCTTGTTCTACAGACACAAATACAAAAATATTAACATATCTTGTACATTGTAAGAGTTTAACTGGACACACAACAGAAAAGTTTCATGAATCTGACTTTATTATTTTTCCAAATATTTTAAATTAGCTTTTGGAGTTGTATGGCAGGTACCCGAACCTGTCAAGCAATTCCACCAAAAATTCGCAAATATATCTGATCTATAATTGGACACACAACTGCCAAGTTTCATGAATCTAACTTCATTATTTTTTAAATATTTAAAATAAATTTTTGGACTTGTATGGGAACCTCTCGAACCTGTCAAGCAATTTCACCAAAACTTCAGAAATATCTTTGACCAATAATTGGACAAACAACTACCAAGTTTCATGAATCTAACTTTTTAATTTTTCCAAATATTTAAAATTATCTTCTGGAGTTGTATGGCAGGTACCCGAACCTGTCAAGCAATTCCACTAAAACTTCAGAAATATATTTGACATATAATTGAAAATATAACTGCCAAGTTTCATGAATCTGACTTCATTATTTTGCCGAATATTTTTTTTTCTTTTTTTTTTTTTTATTACCGAGAGGGAGGGTGAAAAATCTCGAAAGACACTGCCAGACGAAAAGCAGTAGTGTGGAATTTTAATCCACTAAAAAACACCCTCCTCAAAATAAACTATAAAACTAGTCGAAAACGACTAACCATTAATTTTGCTCTAACCTTTTTGATTATTTACAAGCTTTTGATCTGGAACAATAGCGTACTAAGTACTCATTGTTCCAGATAAAAAAACTCTAAACTAACTCGAGAGATCTCGTACGCTTAAGTCTCCTAACAAAGTTTTGATTGCCACCCAATCGAGCCGCCTCGATATTGACATGGTTGGATAAACGCATTTTATGATTGGCTGCTTGCTTTTTAATTTCGTCTGTGACACTTAGGATCGTGAGATCCCTGTGTATATCGGCATTACGGACATACCAAGGGGCGTTTACAATGTCCCGTAATACTCTATTTTGAAATCTTTGTATAGATTGGATATGAGTCTGCGCAGCGCAGCCCCATAACTGAATACCGTAAGCCCAGACAGGCTTAAATATTTGATTATATATCAAAACTTTGTTGTATATTGTCAATTTGGAACGCCTTCCCAAAAGCCATTCGAACTTTCTGTATTCCTCCTCTAGTTGAGATCTCTTTTTCTTTATGTGCTCCATCCATCTTAGCCTCGCGTCCAACGTCATTCCCAAATACTTCACTGTGTTTGCGGACGGAATCAAGACGCCATTTATTCGAACCGAAAATGAATTGTCAATTTTCTTATTAGTGAAACTTACGTGTACTGATTTCACCTCGTTAAGTTTTATATTCCACTTTCCAGTCCATTTTGAGATCTTATCACTGGCCCTTTGCAATTTTTGTGTAGATTCATTTTCATTTCGTCCTATTGCGATAACTGCTGTATCGTCAGCAAATGTAGCTGTTGTCACTCCTTCCGATTCAGGAATATCACACGTGTATAGCAAGTATAGTATCGGGCCCAATATACTCCCCTGTGGTACCCCCGACTTGATATCCCTAAGCGAAGAGTACTCCTCTTCCTGTTTAACTCGAAATACCCTATTAGTCAGGTAAGATTCGAGCAGGTCAATATTATTATTATAATAATAATAATAATTATTATGAAAATAATAATAATAATAATAAAAATAATAATAATAATAAAAATAATAATAACGATAATTATAACAATAATAACAATAATAGTAACAATAATAATAATAATAATAATAATAATAATAATAATAATAATAATAACGATAAAAATTAAAATGATAATAATAACAAAAATTATAATAATAATAATAACAATAATAATAATAACAACAATAATAATAATAATAATAATAATAATAATAATAATTATTATTATAAAAATAATAATAATAATAATAATAGTAAAAATATTATAAATAGTAATAATAATAATAATAATAATAATAATAATAAGAATAATAATAATAATTATAATAATGATAACAATAATAAAAATTATAATAATAATAATATTAGTAATTATAATCATAATGACAAAAATAATAATAATCATAATAAAAATAATACTAATAAAAATAACAATAATAATAATAATAATACTAATAATAATAATAATAATAATAATAATAATAATGATAATAATAATGATAATAATAATAATAATAATTATTATTATTATAATAATAATTATTATAATAATTATTATTATGAAAATAATAATAATAATAAAAATAATAATAACGATAATTATAACAATAATAATAATAATAATAATAACAATAATAATAATAATGATAATAATAATAATAATAACGATAAAAATAATAATGATAATAATAACAAAAATTATAATAATAATAAT